AAGATGTATTGATGTTGATATGGAAAGTTTTGACATTGAAAAAGTTAAAAATATTTTGATTAGCAGATATAGGATTTACTGGAAAAATACTATAGAAGATAATGCAAATGTTAAAAAAGGAAAATTGCGTACTTATTTTAAATTTAAAAACATCTTCAAAAGGGAAGCATATTTATGTCAAGTTAAAAAATTTCAAGATCGAAAAAGCTTAACTCAATTTAGAATCAGTGCTCATCAGTTAGCTATTGAGAAAGGTAGATATAAAAAAATCGATAAAGATAAAAGATTTTGTGGGCAGTGTAAAAATATGCAGTTTGAAGACGAGTTTCATTTTTTGATGGAATGCACTGCATATGAAAAGGAATGGAATTTTATTCTTAATGAAGCATGCATTCAATGTAAAAACTTCCCTTTTATTTCAAAGTATGAACAATTTATTTGGTTAATGTCATGTGAGTCTAAAAATGTTAATATGTCAGTGTCAAGATTTATAAGTACTTGTTTTAAAATAAGAGAAAATTTGCATTCCAGTAACTAACTAAATATACATGTAGTAGTGATGTTACAGTAGTTTATTTATTTTTATGTATTGGAGAGGGTTAATATTCTATTTTATTTATTTTCAAACACCATCTGGTATGGAGTATAGTTATTTAATCATTTATTTTTAAGGTAATATATCTTAAAAATTACTGTATAATTAATACTATATATATATATATATGCATATGCTCGGAAACGGGCCCTTTAATTGGATTCAATAAATATTCTTATTCTTATTCTTATTCATATGGTTCAATTTTTGATGAAGTTTAATTTTTGGACCCTTTGTACATCAATGTGGACAAATTCAAAAACGGAGCCTAAAATCCAAAATCTAAATACACAAATAGATTTATCATATCAAAGAACCCCAAGAATTCAAGACTTTGAATTGAATCACATTGAAATTTGTCCCTTTTTTCCTAAATGGTTAGGGACATAACCTCAGAATCAATCCCAACCTTCCTTTTTGGGTATGTAACCTTGTGGTACAATTTTATAGAGATCCACAGACTTATACTTAAGTTATTGTCCGGAAACCAGAAAATCCTAGTTTTTTGGCCCCTTATTCCTATACGGTTAAGGCCATAATCCTAAAAATCTATCCCAACCTTCCTTTTGAGAAATGAAACCTTGTGGTACAATTTCATAGAGATCCATACACTTATACACAAGTTATTGACCGTTATGGAATAACCGTTTCACAGATGATATCGGATATGTTCCTTATGTCGTAACTACAATACCCTTCTCTTTTCACGAATGTGACCTACCGAATTAGACTATTTACCGGATTTGTAATAACATAAGCAACACGACGGGTGCCACATGTGGAGTAGGATCTGCTTACCCTTCCGGAGCACCTGCGATCACCCCCAGTGTTTGGTGGGGTTCGTGTTGCTTAGACTTTATTTTTCTATGTTGTGTCATCTGTACTATTATTTGTCTGTTTGTCTTTTTATTTTTGGCCATGGCATTGTCAGTTTGTTTTCGATCTATGAGTTTGAATGTCCCTCTGGTATCTTTCGTCCCTCTTTTATTGTTCTGAAACAAGAAAAATGCTTGTTTCTTGCCCCTTTTTGGCCCCGAATTCCTAAACAGTTAAGACAATAACCCCCAAAATCAATAACAACCTTGTTTTTGTGGTATGTAATCTTGTGCTACTATTTCAAAGAGATCCATGCACTTATACTCAAGTTACTGTCTGGAAACAACATATATCCGGACAACGACGACGACAACATAAAATTATACGAACGCAAAAATTTTGCGGTCGTATAAAACCCAGTTATAAAAATAACTATTAGTAAATGGTAAATCCAGTTCTGAATATAACTATTAGTTAATGATAAATCCAGTTCTAAAAATAACTATTAGTAAATAGTAAAACCAGTTATTGTCAATATACGCAGAACGTTAAATAAGTTTATATTTTACTTTCGTTTTCTATTTAACTTTGATTTTTATTATAAAATTTCGGTATTTACTATTTCTAAACAAATATTTAAAGATCGTGCAGCTATGATATTTCATGATAAAGTAATGACTTGGAAAATGTAAACCTGTTTACAACTGTACACTATTTTTGAATAACATTTTTGTTTTTGAATACTTATTTTAAATTGAATGACAGGGATAAAGGATTCTCATGAAGCCTCTAATAAGGATCAATGGTTTTTCCTTAAATTGATTTGTGTTAATCCTGGATATAAGTCACTAAATAGCTAAATAGCACACAATGCATCAAAAAGTAAAATAACAAAAATACAGAACTCCAAGGAAAATTCTAAACGGAAACATGGAAAAGTCCGTAAGCATATGGCAAAATCAAAAGCTCACACACCAAATGAATGGATTACAACTGTCATATTCCTGACTTGGTACAGGCATTTTCTTATGTAGAAAATGGTGGATTAAACCTGGTTTTATAGCTAGCTAAATCTCTCACTTGTATGACAGACGCATATAATTCCATTATATTGACAACGATGTGTGAACAAAACAAACAGACACAATAGGTTAAAATGTCAAAAATAGGGGTACAGCAGTCAACATTGTGTTATAATCTTAATCATTATAAAACAAACAAATATGTCAACAAAGAAAAACAAAAAGGCATATCGACAAAGCACATTAGCTTAACGAAAGACAAGAATACAAACATTTACCATAGCACAATAACACAATGACGGGATGTATAAGTACCAAGCCACGTCAAATGGATATTACCAAAAAATAGACTATTAGTTAACAGTACAAGTAAAAATTTACAAAGACAAATAAAAAAATACTATAAAACGTTATTAAGATGATAAACAACGTCAGTACTTAGAATTTATACTTCAAGACCATCGTGTATTATTTGTGAAGTTGATACGGAATAACACATACTAAAAACGCCATGGCTAAAACGAAACAGACCAACAAACTTACACCAGTACACAAACACAACATAGGAAACTAAAGACCGAGTAACACGAACACCATAATGGGGGTGATGATGATCTTAGGTGCTACGGAAGGATAAGCAGATCCGGCTCATCATGTGGATATCTATTGACATAACAACTTATTTTACTTGGCACAATTTTAACAAGCTGAAGGTGGCCAATAATCATGATCAATGGAATTTCAATTGTTATCATATAGTTTACTGACATCTTCACACAGATGAAGAAGTTGAACATCAATATGCTGACTTTAATAAGTATACGTAATTCGTAATAACAGCACTATAACACAACTCCCTAAATGAAGCATTTGGAGACACAATCTTTAGGATTGTTTTGGCCTTCATGATATTCTATTTGAGTATGTTAAGCTTAAACTTGTAGAAGATATAATAAAAATAAATAAACCCCTCACATTATTGTCATAAAATCAAAAATATACTAATAAGAAATAAATAATAAAATGGAAAAATAAATAAAAATAGAAATAGATAAATGAATAGCTAAATTCTAAGCTCATTGTAAAATATTAAACAGAAAGAGATAACATTCCATAATTTGTCGGGATATGGTTATGTGTTAAATATTGTCATGACAATATCTTTAAGTGTTTCTATGATGGTTATATTGAAAGGAGAATGTGATTTTGCAGCTAAAATGAGAGTACTTAGAAACATAACGTAACTACATCAAACACGACCAAACCAAGAGAAAAACACTAGACAAAAGACAAAGGACAAAAATATAAAAGACCAAATAGATATAAGAAGATGTGATATGAGCGCCAATGAGACAACTCTCCATCCAAGTCAAAATTTATAAAAGTAAACCATTATAGGTCTCAAAGTACGGTCTTCAACACGGAGCCTTGGCTCACACCGAACAGCAAGCTATAAAGGGCCCCAAAATTACTAGTGTAAAACCATTCAAACGGGAAAACCAACGGTCTAATCTATATAAAAAACGAGAAACGAGAAACACTTATGAACTACATCAACAAACGACAACTACTGAAATAACTCAAACTGAATAAATTATAAACACATAGTTCTCTTAAATTAGATATGATTTAAGCACTATTTTCTAAAATTAGATATGATGTAACACAATGAATATCTATTTTAAAATTATAATCAAATATAATTAATAGTTCCAAATATGTTTTCTTTCATTTGTCACACACTAATATAGATATGCAACTTATCTATCAATGTCAACAACTTTATCTACACAATGTAATGTAATGAAGTATATCCTTTAATAAAAAACATATTATTATCTAATTAAAGGAGTTCAATTCTCCAAAACAAAATTATAAATAAAGCATTCAGAAAATTAGTTTATACAGAATAACAAACAAACCTACCACAAAATTCTTCAAACAATTTATCAAAGAAAAAAAAAATCAAAATGTCTTTTATCATTAATACAATGTCTTTTAAAAATCGTTTAAAAAATGAGTTATTTCTCTTTGAACAGAATGGAGTAATTAATATGAATTTAATCTAAAAATGAATTATTGGGAAAGGGCTATAACTCAACAACGAGAAAAGCTAAAATCGTGAAAATTGAACTTGACCTTCCTTCAGTCACAGGAAACAACATATCTACACTGTGTGGCAGCCGCCCGCCCGCCCGCTCGCCGTACATCCCCAAATCAATAACCGATTTTTCCTTCGAAAATCCGGTTAAAAATATTTAAAAATGTTTAAAAAATACCCCAAAACAACTATACATATTTGTGAGTTTAACATTGAAAATTTCTACAAAATCATATCTTCATGAGTTTTTGACAATGTTCTTTAAAAATGTGAGTTTATAAGAAATAATAAGGGAAATTGGGATAGATGAAAGTATATGCAAAGGCACCATTGTTCGATAGTTAGAAGTATGGTGTTTTTTCTGAATGAAAAACATTTCAATAAAGCTGAAACGTATTTTCATTTTTTAATATTTTAGATATCAGGTCAAAAATCACAATCTAACTAGTATTACTAATAACATTACCGTGTATTCAAAATTCAGTGATATCTCCTAAATTCAACAAAACGAAACTGATTTTATTCTGTCTGGTCTTCGATCTAAAGATCACATTTTCGTACTGGATATAAATACCTACAAACGAACGGAATACCACAGTTATAAAAATAAATATTAGTTAATGGTAAAACCAATTTTTATCAATATACGAAGAATGTTAGTAAGTTTATGTTTTACTTTCGTATTGTGATTACAAGCAATAGTTCTTTAATAGTTCATAGCTGATGAAATTTGAAATAAAATTGTTGCATTGAAGTTTAATTCATACAAACTATCATTGTATAGTCAATTACAAAAATTTAAAGGCAATTACAACTTTTCAGGGGTTTCAGTTTCTTTTTAGGGAGAATGTATAATGTATAAACACCGGGAAAAGGGGGTGGGGATTACTCAATCATCTACGTTTGCACTTTTTATCGAGTAGGTTTTTTTTCAAACAGATATCTTATTCATTTACTTAATTCTTCCTAGATTGGTTGCTTATTTCTTTATGATAGAAAAGAATGTCCACTTCGGTCTGTATCTGTTTCATTCATATTAGTTCTCGAAAAGTGTATAGAGTGTGAAACGTAGTAAAATTCAAACATTTTTTTATTGAACGATCGTTTATGTACCTTTTGTCATTCAAAACTGCTTAAAACGAAAAGTGCGGAGATCTAGAAAACTTAGCGTAAGCATGACCTAATAATGTTAATGTACTGGTCCCAGGTCACGAAAGTCGTGTTAAATCAACTCTGAGGCTGATCCAGGATTTTTTTAAGTGAGGTGTAGTTCTATAAAACGGATTATATATAAAATTCTTGAACGACTTATGCTAAAAAATAATATAAATCATAAAAACATGATACAATAATTTGTTTGACCATCAAAGGGGATGAACGCCCTCTGGATCTGCCACTGCTACTCATTAATGTTTTAAGACTGGCTTTTATTACAATGAAAAATTCGTTAAACAATAACTAGATTATCCTTGAATATCATTTTTTGACATCACAGTTAGCATCAATTTCAATTTTCCAACAATCACAATGAAAGGAGGCGATTTTCCATTGTTTCATCTGGACCTGACACTAATAGCTTATGCTTATAATACATCTTATAATACATTAGAGATCTGACTAAACTATTTAGTTTTTTCGAATACTGCGATGCATGCCTTCCAAGTCTAAATTTGGTTGAAATCCAGATGATTTGAAAAATTTCATCAAATAGATATAAGAAGCTGTGGTATAAGTGCCAATGAGACAACTCTCCATCCAAGTCACAATTTGTAAAAGTAAACCATTATATGTCAAAGTACAGCCTTCAACACGGAGCCTTTGCTCACACCGAACAACAAGTTATAAAGGGCCCCAAAAATGACTAGTGTAAAACCATTCAAACATGAAAATCAACGGTCTAATCTATATAAAAAAACGAGAAATGAGAAACACTTATGAACCACATCAACAAACGACAACCACTGAACACCAGGTTCAAGACTTAGGACAGGTGCAAACAAATGCAGCGGGTTTAAACATTTTAATAGGCGCCAACCTTCACCCTACCTGAAACAATAGTGTACCATCACAACATAGAAAGACACACAATAAAATATCAATTGAAATGGCTTTACTCAATCAAAAGACATATCAACAAAAACAAGTGAACATACACTGAACGAATAAAGTCTGTATTTTAGGCCTATTTCGAAAAAAATCGTTCTATTTTACTTTCTCGCATGGTAGTTTATTAACTCAAAACACTTTCCATCTTAAAATTATGGACTTGATAATGAGACAAATAAGGCCCTTATCGTACTTACCCTTCAAAGCTAAACATGGTGGATCAACATATTAATTTGTTGGAGACCGTTTATATGTTGACATGTAGATGTCTTCCTGTCTTATTATCATAGTATTTGTATGTTTATAAATTCTTCTAGAACACATCCGTTTAATAATCATTGTCAATGCCAACAGTATTTCGTCTTTTTCTTATAGCATGTTTAGCATGAATAGTCAATAAATCTCAAAAACAAATATAAGAAGTTTGTTTCGTTGTTTTCATATATATCTTAAGTCATTTTTTTTTTTTTGCCACAAATTAAGTTTTTCTACATTTATTTACAACTATTTTATATATAGTCAGATTTGGTAGGGTTAAATCTTAAAATATTGTAATGACATAAAACAATGTTTATGCATTGTAAAAGAATTTTGGTTGAACTTTAGAAATAAACCGTTTTGTGTATAGATTAATTAGATTGCTGTCTTCATCATTTATGTGTACGCAACATCTCCTTTAAATCACTGACGCGCGTCTGGCGTACATAATTTTAATCCTGGTATCTATGATGAGCTTATCATCACATATATAAATTAAAATATGTTAACGTGCACAAATAGTTATTTTCATGGTCGATCTTTGGGTCGTATTTTTTCTTCTTATTATTTCCCTTTCTTTGGAGTATTTCTCGTCTTATGTTGTTCATATTTAGTCTGCTATCTTGTCATGGTAGGGATAGCTAGACATTCACCCCAGCAAGTTTTCTTAAAATGTCATGTACCAAGTCAGGAATATGGCAGTTGTTATCAAATAGTTCGTTTCTATGTATGTTGGCGTTTGTTTTTGTTGCACTTTAGTGTTTCTGTTGTTCCTTTGTTTTCCTCTTATAACTGATGTGTTTCCCTCGCTTTTAGTTTGTAACCAGGATTTGTTTTTTCTCAATCGATTTATGACTTTTGAACAGCGGTATACTACTGTTGCCTTTATTGTATAGCCCAGTTTAAACCCTCCCCTTGTTTAGGCTCATATCTATAATCAATATTTATCGAAAATAATTGACGTGGATATATCTGTTTTTCAATTTAATTTTTTTCCTTCGGGTAATCCTACTAAGTATTGATAAAAAAAGCATGCGTGGTGTGTCCTTTTGTTTCCATAAACATTTCAACTGTAATAACGGTTTTATACATTACAAAATTACCAAACCAATAATAGGATATTTACTATTATAGAGTCAGTAATATCTTCCAATCACGTAGTAAGAAAGCATTCAGTCTGAAGACTGTGCATCGTTCAACTTATAAGACCGTCTCCAAATTTGAAATTGACCCAGTGGTCATAAATAAACTTATCATAGATATAAGATTTAAGATTGTGTATCCCAGACGCACGTGTCGTCCGCAAACGACTCATCATTAACGCTCGAATAAAAAAAAGTTTAAAAGGCCAAAAGAGTACGAATTTGAAAATCATTTAGGACCCAAAATTCCGAAAGGTTTTGTCAAATACAACTAATGTAATCTATTCCTGATGTACAAAATCCCTTAGTATTTCGAAAAATTAGAAGTTTTATAAACAGTAAATTTATAATTATGACCATATCAATGATATGTCTTGTCAACACAGAAATACTGACTACTGGACTTGTGGTACCTTCGGGGAGAAACCTCCACCAGCAGTGACATCGGCCCAATGATTGTAAATAAACAAACAGAAAGCTTTAATCATGAAAGTAACTCAAGTAAAGTTACGCAATATGGAAGTAAATTATTTTATCTCCCTCACAAGTTGCACAAAACATAATGAATCGTTTAGTGCTGAAAAAAATCGACAGATGGGCAACGTTTCGGTTATTCAAGGTCCACATAATCATAACCATCCATACAAGGTCCACTAAATCGTAACAATCCATACGAGGCATACTAAATCATAACCATCCATACAAAGCCCACTAAATCATAACCATCCATACAACGTCCACTAAATCGTAACCATCCATACGAGGCACACTAAGTCATTACCATCCATACAAGGCCCGCTAAATCGTAACTATCCATACAAGGCCCACTAGATCGTAACAATCCATACGAGGTCCACTAATCATAACCATCCATACGAGGTCCACTAAATCATAACCATTCATACAAGGCCTACTAAATCGTAACAATCCATACGAGGCACACTAAATCATAACAATCCTTACAAGACCCACTAAATCGTAACAATCCATACGAGGCACACTAAATCAAAACCATCCATACAAGGCCACTAAATCGTAACCATCCATACGAGGCACACTAAGTCATAACCATCCATACAAGGTCAACATAATCATAACCATCCATACGAGGTCCACTAAATCATAACTATTCATACAAGGCCAACTTAATTATAACTATCCAACCAAGGACCACTACATCATAATCATCCATACAAGGACAACTAAATCATAACCATCCATGCGAGGTCCATTAAATCATAACCATCAATACAATGTCCACCAAATCACAACCATCCATGATGGTCCACTAAAACATAACTATCCATGTGAGGTCCACTAAATCATAACCATCCATACAAGGTCTACTTAATTATAATCATCCATACAAGTTCCACTATATCATAACCATACATACAGGGTCCACCAAAGCATAACCATCCATACAAGGTCTACTAAATCATAACAATCCATACAACGTCCACTTAATCTTAACAATCCATACAAGGTCCACCAAAGCATAATCATCCAAACAAGGTCTACTAAATCATAACCATCCATACAAGGTCTACTAAATCATAATCATCCATACAAGGTCTGCTAAATCATAATCATCCATACAAGGTCCACCAAAGCATAACCATCCATACAAGGTCCACTACATCATAACCAGCCATACAAGGTCCACTAAATCATAACCATCCATACAAGGTCCACCAAAGCATAACCATCCATGCGAGGTCCACTAAATCATAACCAGCAAGACAATGTCTACTAAATCATAACCATCGGTTATGGTCCACTAAAACATAACCATCCATGCGAGGTCCACTAAATCACAACCATCCATAGAAGGTCCACTAATTCACAACCATCCATAGAAGGTCCACTAAATCATAACCATCCATACAAGGCCCACTAAATCATAACCATCCATCCAAGGACCACTACATCATAATCATCCATACAAGGACAACTAAATCATAACCATCCATGCGAGGTCCACTTAATCATAACCATCCATGCGAGGTCCACTAAATCATAATCATCAATACAATGTCCACTAAATCACAACCATCCATCATGGTCCACTAAAACATA